AATTCTGACAGGTTATACAACCATCACTTCTGAAGTAAAGTGTTCACGGTAAATGCCCTAAAACTGGTACGTGTATTTTTATGGTGCCTCTTTATTGGGAGAGGTCGCAATTTCCATACAGTTGAAAAACAGTTAGATAAAAGGTTGCAACTTTTAAAAGATAACTTTAAGAAGCTGTGTGACTTTAAGATAGATTTTTTTCAGTTGTTGCAATATGTCCATGTAGTTGTAAAGACCAATATAAAACTTGTATCGCATCTCCATACTTACAAATTGATGAATTTTTAATACAACCGGTGGGTAATATCAACTCAACTTCAAACTGGATATTCCAACTATCAAACACTCAACTGGCCATTTGCATACATTGATAATTTGACTCCAGTTTACATGTACTTTTTCTGTGATCAGTTTCAATTTAGGAATTAAATATGAGAGTTTAACAGGATTTCATACGAATATAAAATATGTCCTGTTTCAGGTGTATATTTTGATGTTCTAAATTGAACTTATCTTAAGTAGGTTTGCGAGAGATAACATTACATAATCTTTGTAAGGAAGCATTCATAACCAGTAGTATAGTCAGGTTTGTTATCGTGAAAAACTTGTTGATGTGTATTTTAAAAGATGTAAATTTCAATTTGAATATATATATATATATATATATATATATATATATATATATATATATATATATATATATATATATATATATATATATATATATATATATATATATATATATATATATATATCCACTACGTTTCATTCGCGCAAAATATGAGTATGTGTCAAAGTGTGTATAAAAATCTGATTTGACACATTCAAGGTATTGATTTTAATTCATTGCAACACTACTTAAAGATCCATATTTTCTTCCGTGTACTTTGTAAAGAAATTTAAAGGGCTTCGTTTTAAAACATATTAGGGTCATTTTATTCAATAAAACTATTCATACCCAGTGAAGTTAACCGTATTCAAAACGTGTTATCAGACATTAAACTTGATATTGAAAACACTGAAAAAAACTTAAACAAATTATATAATGGAGCCATTGATTTATTTGGTTCGATCAATTTTGTGAATACGGTGACGAATATTGTCGGGAATTTGCGCTAAAACAGGTAAAAGAAGGTAAAAATATTAATTGTAAAAAGAAAATATAAATGGGTAACTATTATTATCGAATAAGTATATTCCATATCTATTAGAAGCTATTTTTTATACTCTTTTTACTTAAATGATGAATATTTGCTTTTTTTGTATATTTCTATAATAAAGTAATAAATTATGATTTCCAAAAACAATCTCGACATTCCATATCAAGTTGTATTCACATGTTATCAGATGTTGTACAAGTTACCAATGTTATTTTACTAGTCACACAGGCATAAAGGTTAATCATAAACCACGTAAAAGACGTTTTCATCTAACGGATGTCGAGAGAAAGGTTGAATTTGTATACGATTTAGAACCAGAGTTGGCGTGAAGTAAAACTTCTATTCTAACTCAAGCAGTTTTAATCATTTATTTGTTGGTAAAATGACGGAGTAGAAGGGTACCTGGATTTTTTTTAATTTCTGTGTTAATTAATGTGTTGTATAATCTGTCTCAATTCATCGGAACCAAATTTAACATGCAAAGACTTTATGGCAGTGCAATGATCGATTTACTTATTTAAAGCAATATGAGCTGCATTTTTGAGAATTTTATTTTGCTGTTAAAATGTGCCGTTATGATAAATCCGTATGTAATTTAATCCTTTATGATCAATTAGACTTAAATAAAGTATCAATTTTTTTTCAGAAGAAAGATTTCTGTATAGTGAAATATAAAGTATTATATGAGAAATCAATGTTGTGCAGGATGACAATAACGAATTCTGCTTCAATCAAAGCTTATAAATAGTTCTTTTATCACAAATATGAACAACATTAGTTTATAAACATTCTTTTTTCTGTCGTTGAAAGAGTTAATTACAATATTGCAACAAATATTTCCGACATCAAAATTGCAGCTCATATTGCTTTAAGTTGTCAGTGCATAACAATTGGATACAACAGAGATAAAAAGACATGAAATCAGACATATTGATTATGCAACCGGTTTGACAAACTGCCAGGTTTTCGTTTCATGTTTGGCAAATATAGTTATTATCCCCAAAAAAGTCAATAGTCAGATAAAGTTTTTTACTACCTAATACAACTGATTTTGTTGTTTCATTGAATATGTAGTATTTTTGACTATTTCCTCTGTATGTTCATTCCTTTGAACTATTTAAGGAACTTCAGAGTGATCTATTGACCGCCAATCAATGGTTTGCAAATTTTCGGACCGGGGATCTATTGGACCTGCAGTGCCCATATACTCAGTAAAATATTAGGTAAGAAAACAGTTATTTAGGCCTAATTTCTTAGCAGTCAATATACCATAACATTTTCCATTGGTGATGAGAACAGCTCAATGTTCTATTGCCCTCGGCCGTTGCCCTAAATAACTGTATACTTTCATGCTTTCCTTTGAAACTTTAATGCACCATAATGACACTCTGGAACTCTAGAAGAGAAGACGACTAAAAACAGAGAAAAATGCCCATGGTTTGACCAATGGAAAACGCTGTAAAATACCCAGCCTAGAATATCATTTACATCAAAAAAAAATTCTTGCTGTAAATGTATACAATTTGCAGCAATCCATATATTGAACAGATTTGTCTGTATAAAGTAGAATGCACACGCAAGGCAGGGGACAATTGAACATCGCCATGCTTTATAAAGTAATTCTTATAAGTGCTCCATTTTACTAAATGTACATTTTCAAACTATGAGAACAAATATTGATTTTTTTTTTTTGTCAATAAAAACAGGCAGCACGAACCAACCAAATTATTAAAAACCACTTTTTGATCAATCTTTTGTGAAAATACACATTTGAAGTCCAGATATCCAAGCGTCCTATCACAGTAAGCGTTAAATGCCAATAGTTTTGATTAGATGCATGGCTCACTGACAACTGATAGGAATTTTAGTCTTTAATATTTTTTCACCTTAGAATTATTATGCCGACAGAATCTTTCGTAGCAAAATATTGTTTGAAATAAATTAGTAGCAAACACCTTATTGTTAAAAAAACATTGCCTTCAATACTACCTTAACAAGATTTTTTTAATACAATCACAGTTACGGGCATTTTCTATGCCTTATTCCCCCATGTTCTCTCAGGGCAATAATTATAGTAAACATAGGCAATAATTATACTAAACATAGAAATATTCAGACATGCAAAATCGACTTGGTCATATTTTAAAATTTTAATATCAAGCCTCAGTATGCTATGAACATGTATATTTTTATTAAATCATAGAGTTTTGTTTATTGTTTAAGGTTACTTTAGTGAGCGTTTTGGCCCTTCGGCCACTTTGATATAAAATATATCATTTGATTGTACTTATGTCAACTTTAAGGTATAAACAATTTATACAAAACATGAAATTAGACTTATCTCCTCAGTATAATGTATATTGTTAATCTGGATGTAAATTGCAGTATCAGTGTTTATATTGAACATATAATGTAAACACCTAAGTCCGAAAATAAACCAGATAAAAATGCATGAATGTCGATTTGATATCTTTATAGATGAAAATAAGTGATGAAACTGTTTATCCCGAAGGCTTACTGAAAATGACTGAAGGACTCTTATTTCGAATTACCAGTTGAGATAACTACAAAGACATCACAAAAGTAAGTTTTTTATTAAAATATTTTACTCCTTTTTTGCCTCAAGTGGTAGGTACATGTACATGCATAGTATGTCAAAGAATCTCAAATAAACATAAAGATATGTACTTGTTTTTTGAATATGGGACGCATATTCATGCTTTGGAATGAAAACTTTGTCAAATGCAAATGCTTTGGAATCTGAAAAAAATGTGTTGTCATCTTTTTAAAGTTGTTAAGTTAGAACTCTTAATAATAGTCTTTTAGGCAGTAACAAATGAACTGATATCTTTTTGTTTTTATTAAAAGCATGCATTGTACTGTAATGTAGGATTCACTGCCTGAAGTCTAAAAATTAAAAAAAACATATATTGTCAAAAATGTTGTATACGTTCTCATTAAAAAAAATCGCAAAATTTTATTTTAAAAAAATAAAGAAAGAAAGCGTGTATAATTATTCATCAGAATATACCACATCAATAGTTTTTTAAAATAATTATCAGATACATGCATGGTTTTTTTTCTTTATTCTTTTGAAGTGTGTGGCAGAGGGGCTGGTAGATTACGAAGACCCAACTACATCAGAACAAGTGTATATTCGGAGTGTAGTGCAAAATTACAGGAGCACAACATCGTCCTAATCACAGGAGAAGTGGGATCGGGCAAAACAACGCTTGCTAACGAATTATTTAACGAACGAAAAGAATCAATGGGACATTGCTTTCAGCTACAAACACCAGACGAACTTATTTTTGCAACCGGTGCAAAAACAATTTTGATCGACAATATATTTGGGCAAAACGTAGAGGATGTAGCGATGACCTTAACGTGGTATAAAACCATGCAAAAACTTGAACAAATGAGCAAGAGGGTTGCCTTTATATTGACTTCAAGATCAGATATTTATTTTCGATGTAAGGATCGCATAGGGATTGATTTTCTTAAGAAATGCGAAATTGATATTTCTTCTATAAACCTATCACAAGAGGAAAGAGAAAGAGTAGAGAAAGAGTACGAATTTCCCACAGAATCACAAAGTGATCTTGGGTTGTTTCAGAAATGTGAGGTTTGGATTGCGTTAAGAAACTTACCTTCAACAGAAGATGCCCCTACGATCTCAAAAGCAGCATTAGATGATGTGTTCACCAATATAGCGACACAGAGTAGAGACCAGTACTTTACCATTTTAATAACTCTCGTGTTTGGGAATAAAATTTGTGAAACAGATTTAGCGAAGCCCATTGTTTGCGAGATAGCAAAATGCATCAACTTATATGTGCAAAACAAGAAAAAAATTCAAAATTTGATCAAAACAGCTCTCCAACACTTATCCGACTCTTTGCTAGTGTGCATAGAAGGGACATATTGTTTAAGAAGTAGTATTATATTTGAAGCTGCATGCAAGCATTTCATAACACGTCATCCTGAATTATTCATAAAATACTCTGAGATTGCTTTTTTGGACATGGTGTCGACAAATTTTGATATCATTAACGAAGTTCATATTAAAATCTTGTGCAAAAGGTTATCCACAGAAGTAAGAATGTTGACGGAGAAGAAATTATTCAATTTACTGAAAAATGAGAGAACTCTCCGAGAATTCATTGAAGAATTAAAAGAAAAAGAGGACGAGTTAAATGAATTTTTCAACTCGGACTTCTTCAGATTCACTTGTTGGTCGGACAATGTGTTGACTACAGAATTCCTTTTACGAAGAATGAAAGACAAGAGAATTATCATTGAAAATGCCCTCGATTGCTGTTCGGAGACTGTTCGGAGAGCACTGAAAAAACATCTGAATTCAGACTCATCCGAGGCTACCGCTATTCCACCATCACCGACCATCTATGGGGAACGGCGTATGTTGTCATGAATTCATCAGTTATTCATCAAAATGTTTTGTTTCTTGTTTTCACAGTGCCTGTTTGTAAATTTATGATTTAGTTAATCATCTTAACTTTTCATTTTTAGATGGACCATTTGAAAACACTCTAACCTTTGACGCACTGGAATGCCAATGCCGTGAATTTCCCAGACTCCGATATCACAACAAACTAGTGAGAGGGCTGGCAGATAGATTTGCAAAACTGCAGACAGAAATCTCAGAGCTCAAAATCATAGATTTCATTCACTGGAAGCAAACAAATGAAAATCCTGTTATATATGTTGCTGGAAAAAACCTCGGGAAGAGTTTTTCTTTTGTCTCGAAGCGTCGCGAAGAGAAAATAACCATAAGAGGTATTGAGACAAATCATAACTGTATGTCAATAATGTAAAAAAAAAAAAAAAAAAAGGTCTATCTCTCTCACTTTATCAAATATTAAAACTGATAATGCATTATATATATATATATATATATATATATATATATATATATATATATATATATATATATATATATATATATATATATATATATATATATATATCCAGTAAAAAGTCTCAGTGGTCGGAATAAAATACTTAAAGTAAAGAAGAAAAACACGAAAAACCTCGGTAAAGCTTTACTGAGGTTTTTCGTCTGTACTTATATATATATATATATATATATATATATATATATATATATATATATATATATATATATATATATATATGGGGAGGGGGGTGAGGGGGTGTGTGTGTTCATATAAGAATTTACCTTTTTCAGACCGACGTCTATCTAAGCCGACATTCGCTGATTTTAAGGGAAGATCGCCCTCGTGTATTCTATACGATTGTGGAGATGAAGTATCAAAACAAAATCTTCTAACAGAGATCAGAAAGGTAAATACCCAATTGCTTTAAACAAAAGTTCTCTTCCAAATTTCTTCTATATATATATATATATATATATATATATATATATATATATATATATATATATATATATATATATATATATATATATATATATATAAGTGTTTGGTTTTTTATTTTAAGTTATCTATGAATGTTGCTGCTTCAGCTTTGACTTCGTTTGGCCCATGTGTGATAATCGTCTTGAAACACGAAAAGTATACACTATCACCAACTGATCTTAGAGATATGTCAGTAAATGGTGTTCAAATCGTTGCATCCACCGGTGATAGCGATTTACTAGAGAACTTCACTTCAGCTTTTGAAATCATGATGATAGAATACATCAAACTTCTACAATCAAAATTATGTTTTGAATTCGCACCATCTGCAAAACAAATCAGGTCACTGAAGACAGAATCAGATGCTGTTATAAAGCGGCTTCAGCTAGCTTCAAAACTACCTAAACAGAATACAGACACCCCTGCATCCATGTCCATACCCGAAGCAATTCTGGCAGAGTTAGATAAGTATGTATATACTATTGTTATTTTTAAAGTCCAAGCCATGTAATTGATTGGTATTTCTCGATCTATACATTTAATGCATTACTAGTGTCAGGATCATATTGTTCCCACTCTGAGGCCATTCATTGCCAAATCTTGTCAGCTGATATCTTCAGTTCATGAGCCAAAGTGAAGCTATATAATTGAAGTATACTTCATGCATCATAAGTCCGAATCCAATCTTTCACAATGTAAGACCTAGGATCATGATACCCTACAATTTTGAGCATTGTCATGGGGAAAATGTGTCATATCTCGAAAGTAAGTTATGACCAGTTTGGAAGTACATAGTTACATAATCAGATCATATCTGCATCATACCTTGCTTACGCAGTGAATATCAGAGTAATCAATTATGGTCACTTAAATTACTTATTTGGGGGTCGGTGGGAGATATTCATTGGCGCTCAAAAATATAAGTTACGGTCATCTCATAATTTTGGACTTGCATATATGTACCTACACATATCCAAAGCATGTCCAGATTATACATGCAGATCAGCATGTACACAATACGGCTAAGGATCATCAAACTGTCAGTTTGAAGTGTTCTACTGAAAAGGAGATAATGAAGTCCTCCTGAATGCGGATCATGTCCACTTTTAGTTCTTTTTAATACTTTAGAGCAGTATACAAAACAATATCATTTTTTTTATTTTGCAGCAATGCTGATAAAATATATGGTTATGGATTTCGGCCAGATGAGTTTTATGTCCTGATTTGCGACAGCCTTTCTTCTGTTGATAAAGAGACTTTGCAGAAAAAAATCTTGGAATCAAAAGAAAGTGCTAACTCGAATAATGCTACTTCTTTCCTATGGAATATCAAATTTGAAAATTCAAAAGGCGTTAAAATAATGGAACATTTTGGATCTGGAAGCCCTTTATTACCGGATCAAACCAAACCACATAAATTTGGTACACTTGGAGGTTTTGCTCAAATTAACTCCAAAGATGTTGTTGGACTAACAAATTATCATGTTGTTGGTAAAAATATTGTTGCATACGTTAAAGATGGTGACACTTTAGTTAAACTAGGCAAAAGCACATTTGTTCTCGTTCCTGGAGAGGAATCTTTGGCTGATGTTGCTCTTATTGAAGTTGAGAAATGTGTCTTAAACAGGTGCCAAAAGCCACTTGTTGATGACGAAGACGAACCAAAGAGTGCAACAATATTTTTAGGAACACCAGATCAAATTTGTCCGGCAATAGTTCATAAGAAAGGTGCTTCAACTGGTATAACACAAGGAACCGTGGTGGATATAATGACATACAGAGACGTCCTTGGTGAAAGAGAAACTCAAAGTGCGTTTCTGGTAGAAGACACGGAAAAACCTTTTAGTGCTCCTGGGGATAGCGGGTCTATCGTCTTCCAGAATAGCTTGAGTGCAAGTCAAGAAGACATAGAGGTAGTAGCGATTCTAAATGGAAGATACAAAAGGCATGATGAGGAGGAAGAATCGAGCTACGTTCTTTGCTCAAATATGACATATGTTTATGAGAAACTACATAGGATGGGTAAAAAATTGCAGTTTTTTAAAAAAGACTAGCTACATTTCCGGGTAACCATTATATCTCATTCTTACTAATATAGTCCAGAAATGCTTTATTATCAAGAATAGAGGTGACCGTGCTATAATGTGAGTAAATGCAACATACTAAGTATTTAAACTAAGAAGGTGTTTTTCTATCAAATTGATAAATCGTTATACGTATTTACTAAGCTTCAATATTCGTTTTATAAATACTCTGACTATTGCTTTTATATCCAATCCTTTTTCGTTTGATAACTATTGTAAAAAAAAAAAAAATAATTCCGTTAGGGTCAAACCCTTCAAATATAGGGTTCACTTACATGTTTTTCAGTATTTCATTTTGAGAAAATAGGTTTTAGTAAGTACCAGTTTTTATTTCTTATAGACAGTTTTCGTATCATTAAAATGAGGAACTGAGTAATGAGCAGCTTCGGACCGAAAGTATTTATTAATGGGAAAAGAAGGATGACTGCACTTGATACAAAATTAATTTTCAAAGCGAGCGTTTTCTTATTATTGCAGAGATGGTCATCATCCAATCTGCAACTTTATTTAATTACATTAAATAAAAATTTGTATGTACGAAGTACGAATCTGTTTTCATAGGCAGGGGTACGGTCATTACGATTTCTTCAATCTCCATACGATAACATTAGTTGTATATTTGCATTAATAAATGCAAAAGGAGATTAATAGACAAACATGCGCTTATGGTTTAAAAGAGAAGAACTGCTTCTCTCTCTCTCTCTCTCTCTCTCTCTCTCTCTCTCTCTAGAGCGCTCGCTCCATGATCGGAAGGTCGTGTGTTCGAATCACGGCCGCGCCTCACCTAAGTCTATAAAAAGTAGGTAGCAACTGTTCCTTCGCCAAGCTCTCGGCTCTTTGAAGTGAAAGTTGCGGGTCCTTCGGATGAGATCTTAAAAACCGAGGCCCCGTGTCACGATAGGCGTTGGCACGTCAAAGAACCCCCACTCCTCAATGGCCCTGAGTGCGGAGTAAAGGTCTTAATTTGAAGCCCTTCACCGGTACATGGTGACGTCTCTATATGAGTGAAAAATTCGCGAACGTTACTTAAAACAACATACAATCAATCAATTAATCAATCTCTCTGTTCTAACCAAGTGTTTTGACATGTTGAATATTATAATTCACCACGTGATATCTTACCTCAGGAAACTTTGTGAATACTACATTCCGTCATGTGACATGTAAGGTAGCATGTTTTATGCTAACTAGGACATTGTGTTCGAACACGTTTTAAATGTCGGGTATTGATTTAAAAACATCTGTATCTACATGGATGTGTATTGTAAATTTCGTTTTGACACTTTGGTAAAAACAGAGTGTAGTGTACTTGTGTCACACAAAATACAGAGGGAGATGGGGAAAGAGCGGTCACATATTTTTTCATACATGTCACGGGCATTTATCCTAGTCTAATTTTAGACCGATTTTTAAAATGATAGCCCCACCTCTCATGCTTATATTTATCAACTTAATATTCAATCTAAGGCAGGTAATTGTAGATTCTCTATAATTGGAAAGCAGTTGGGGAAAAAATAGAATTATTTTATTGTATCACAGCATAAAATCATTTTAACATTTAAATTTGGTTCCAAATTGACAAAAAAAATTATTGAATAAATAAAATTGAAAATGAGTTAAGGTATAAAATCAAAAGAAGCGACCGAAAATGACCCAAAACCCTGCGTTATGTGCAGTCATCCTTTGCTGATTTTGAGAAATACATCTGTTACTACTTCACACATATTTTGTACGATTCGTTTTAATTTTACATGGAGTAATAAAGGTTATTTGATTGATTGTTGTTGCTTAACATCCCATTCGAGAATGTTTCACTCATATAGAGACGTCATCGTATGCCGGTAAATGGGCTTCAAATTTAGACCTATACTCTGCACTTAAGGCATTTGAGCAGTGAGGGTTCTTTATCGTACCGACGCCTACCCTGACACGGGACCTCGGTTTTTAAGGTCTCATCCGAAAGACCCCTAACTTTCACTTCTAGTACCGGGCGCTTGGCGAAGGAACAATCACTACCTATATATATGTTTACGTCTTAGGTTTGACACGGCTCGGCGAACGAGAATCGAACCCGGGTCTCCCGATAACGAAGCGAGCGCTGTCCATTAGGCTACCGTGACCGGTGAAGTGTAAGTTGAAAGATGGCCAATTTCTGGAAAAAAAAAAAATAAACTTCCAACCTATATTTCTTGGTGATTTCCTCTAAATTTCCCAGGAAAATAGGGCATGAGATAATTAAAAAGTTTTCATTTGGTTGAAAAAGTGAGAGGGTATATGTTTTCATTACTCTAGATTTGTATCATTTCATCATATGTTAAATATTGCATAGGGATAATTTTATTATGTATGTAACATTTGTTTGAATTATAATATAAGTCTAGATACTGGGTCCATCTTATACGTGTATGTTGCATATCTTGGATGGGCGACTATATTTAAAAGTGTTATAAGTAAAAGTACTCAAAACATCCTCACTGGATATTTGGATAATTTGAATGCATTTTTATATATTGTTGATTGTTCATTTTTATAATTTTTTCATCTTTAAGCTTATGTGTGTGCGCTTCTTTTTACATTCATCTTTTTAAAAAATGTAATTATGTGAGAAAAATGCTGATTTGGGAGATGTGCAATAATGTACTGCAGTTGATAAATCTGGTTGTTTGTTAATTGTTGATAAGGAAAAAGAAAAATAATCTGCTTATATTAAGTCACACTGCAAAGTTTCAAAACGCAGAAATGGCAAGGCATACGATACACGTTTTCTTTCTCATCCAATATTTTCCATATCGAGTCACAATAACTGTGTGAATAATATTACATAAAATTTGTAGATAACGAACAATAATCAAGCTCAGAAGGCCATTGGAACAATTTTTGAGCAAAGCAAACACGGACCTCTAAAAACATCAGAAGTGTATGGAAAGTCATATGGGACCCCCATGCCATGTTCTTTATATTTCATTGAAAATCAATCCTGGCCCGTCAGGATGGCAATCATGACCATGTCAAGATTTCAAACATGACCAAGTCATGATTTTTATCATCCTGACCAAGTCAGGATTTATGCATTCCACAGAAGTGGGTTCAGGTGCCGTGGAGGAGTAAACATCTGTCGACCAGTCAAACCCGGTCAAATGTTTTACACAAAATATAAATTTTAAAGTAGAATTGTGTGATTATCTATTGATAGATTGTAGTTAATAGAAGCTTTTATGTCTGTATATGTAAAAAGAGAAAGAAGATTGATTCTGATTAATTGGAAATCAATTTAGCATTGAATATTGCATGTGTTCTTGTACATGGTACATGTACATGTATTAACAGCTGAATAAAAAAGACTCAACGTTTAAGTGTTTAATTTCTGTGATAAATGGGTCTCTTGTTGAAAATATGAATTATTTTATCTCTTCAAATAAAACTTTGTACTTGTTCTTGCATTTTAAATGCGTGGTTTTTTAAAATAATTTTGAAATATGTATTCTAATTATATACGTAATACATGTAGTAAATTATATTGTAGAGCTCATTTACGCTTAACCGTTAATTTTTTGTGACATAGAGCATCACATATGTGTAGAAGAAAAAGAAGAGAGAAAAAAATAGCTTGAGAAGCCCTGAATGTAAATGGGGAAGGGGTGGGGTCATCACTTGTTATTAGCCACACAAGTTAAATCGAGATATGAATCATTTACTTTGATATACATGCACAATAAAGCACGGTTACAGCGAACACTCTTACAATGAATGTTTAGTCTTTTAGCAAAGTGATTTTTTTTTCCTTGTAAATTTACAAATTCCATTGTTCGTCCATGACAATTAGCTATAAAGATGTTTTACTGATCATTCACTTGAAAAGTAAAAGTCATGGAGGTATAACAACACGTTTGCCGTTTTGTACTACGGTGTGCAAAGGGCTCTGCAAGTTGCATTATGAGTTAGCTTTGGGAAATAAATCAAAAATATACGTATGAGAAAAAGAATCTTCTTGCCTTCCATGTCCAAATGTAAAACAGGTCCAGAAGCCACCGAAGAAACTTTTACACCAGGACAAATGAAAATAGGCACACTTGCGCTCTCTAGTATGCTTGATTGATTGTATGTTAATTGTCCTATTGAGAATTTTTAACTCATACCGAGACGTCACCATGTAGGGCTTCAAATTTAGAACTTTACTTGGAACTCAGTACCATTTAGCAGTGAGATCTATCTTTATTGTGCCGACGCATACCGTGACATGGGACCTCGATTTCAAGGTCTCATCCGAAATCCCCGAAACGTTCACTTCAAAGTGCCGAGTGCTTGGCGAAGGAACAATTGTGAACTATATTTTATTGACTTAGATCTTGAATCCACGGAGCTAGCGCTCAACCGACCTCTTTAGTATAAACTCTTTCTTTAATCAGGTCGACCTGTTAAATCATTTAATTGCTGTTGAAAGTAATATTACTTCGTATTAACTGAACGCAATATCTGGGGAGTCTTAAGGATATCCGATCCTCAGCTAGGAAGGATAACTCTTAAAATAATCATTAAATTTAAAAAGTCTCAAAATTAAGTTTAAAATTGAAATCTTTTCGTGCAACAATTTTTATTTTATGCATCTCATTATGAATCAAGATTCTTTGAAGTCTTAGGAACGGTCTTGGTTTTTTTTTTTTTTTTTTTTTTTTTTTTTTTTTTTTTTTTTTGGTTTGTATGTTGTTTAACGTCCGTCTCGAGAATTTTTCACTCATATGGAGACGCCACCACTTGCCGGTGGAGAGCTGCAAATTTTGTCCTATACTCGGCACTTACGGCCATTGAGCAGTGAGGGATGTTTTTCGTACCAGCACCTACTGCGACACGGGACCTCGGTTTATACTGTCTCATCCGAAGGACCGGTCTCCACGTCCCACAGTGGGATTCGAACCCGCGACGTAAGGATCAACACCTTACTTCGCGACTCTAGAGCAGACGCTCTAACCACTGCGCCACGCGGGCGACGGAACGGTCTTGTAAAAGTTTGCATTTCTACCCCCATGAAGTGCAAAAATAAATGCATTTTTATAGAAATCAAATTTCTTCTAATCTA